CTAATAGATGTTGATTTGTATGATGGTGATCAATGAAATGATGCATGCCAATTATTTATGTAAAGTAGGGCAGGTAGTCGGGGTGGCGGTCGTATGGTCTGTGCTCGTTTGTCTATGTTATGCCCATCTTAATGCTCACTAAGAACTTTACATGCTATTTAATCAATGGACACATTCATGATCTCTGTCTCATTGAGTGGTACCTATTGAGCACTTACTGTGTGCCAGGCTGGGGGGAGAAAGTGAACAAAGTAGACTTGTATTAGGCAAGGATCACCTGCCGGTAAGCAGTGAGGTCAGACACCTGAGATGTTTCTGGTCCTCACGCTTATCTGCTGTGTGATGGAGGCAAGTTTCCCCCTCTCTGGGCCCCTTCCACAGCCTCCATGCTATCATCCTTTCATTGATAATTCCTGCATCCTTTGATCTTCCTTTCTGTGCTCTGTTTTGAGGCGTGTGCGAGAGAGATTTCAGAATCCTTTAATCCCAAGCTGGCCTGCTCAGAGTGGCAGGTGCAGATTCCTGATGGAGCTGGGAACACGTGAGCTAGGGGCCAGGCACTTGGGATATGAGGGCCTTCAGCGTGGGCTTCCTGACTCATTGAAAGACGTGCACCCCCATTCCCAACACCGACAATACAGGCCAGATGCTGCCTAATTAAGGCTACTATCCAGGATTTTGTTTCGGGAAGCAGTTTCTCCGGCTCGTCCTCTCCTCACACGGCCCTTCCTGGAATACCCTCCACCCTTCCAGCCCAGCCAATTCACACTCTTCAGGGTTCTGCTTGCGTGCCACCCTCTCTGGATGTTCCCACAGCTCTCAGAGATAAGCCAGTTCCCTGCTCAATTCCCCCTGCCCCATCCAGCCACAGCCCTTACCTGCCTCTTGTCAGGTTGCCTGATTACAGTCTGACTTCTCTTCCTGAGCTTTGAGCTCCCGGAGGCCTGGAAGCCCCCTGCCTCACCACGGAGACATGCAGCTCATCCCCCCAGGATGCCCAGGTCCCTGAGACAGGAGGCTGCAAGCTGAATGACCTGTTCAGTGTCCCTGATGATCACCTCTGCCTTCCCAGGACTCCTGGTAACCGCAGTCCATTTCTGAAGCACCAGCTGTGTGCCAGGCTCCATGCCCTTCACTCTGCATACACTCTCTAATTACCCCTCTGCAATGATTGTATTCACATTAGCTCTAAGTTATGTAATTATTATCTCTTACTGATAATGTTCACATTCATCATTGCTCACGAGTATAAGCTACAGGGCTCAGCTCAGCACACAGTAGGTTTCTACATAAATCAGGAATAGTTAGAACTGTTACAGTCAATGTCTGGCAGCAAGAGCCACGCCTCACTTGGTGAGTGGGGAAGGTCTGTTCTCCCCTGGCACATGTGTTTATGTCCTCATGACTCAGCAAACATCGCCCAGTGCCTACTATGGGCCACCTACCCAGCTCTGTTTGCAGCACAAACTCCTTCTCCATCACCCATGTGATAAATAAGAATTGCAAACACTTAGGCAGTGCTGAGGGGCCCCAAGGACGGAATTATTTTTACTATCAAACCCAAATTGGTTTACTAAAACTGTCAGTGGAAACCAAGCAAGATAAATTAAACTCAGCAGCTCTTGGGCCTCATGTAACCCTCGCCGGTGAGATGCTATTTTCATTCCCTCTGTGGGAGGAAGGAGGTGCCAAGCCCAGATGCCACTCTGCCAAGCATGTGCCAGAAGAGAGTGCCGGAGGGAGCCTTGGGCTGGTGACCAGAGGACTCAGCTTCCTTCTGCAAAGCTTTAATTCCGTTAAATGCCTAAAACTTACTGGGCACATCCCGACTCCCCGCCTGATGCGGTCCTCAGGCCCCTGGTCAATCCCGCAGCCCCCTGGCCGGCCTTGCTGCTCCTGGATTGCTGAGCTGCAGGAACACAGGCTTCCTGCAGCCCCTTCCCAGTGCTGGGCAGGGTCCCAGCCCCGCGGGGTGCAATCCAAGCTCTGCTATCTCCCAGCCTTGTGAGTGGTTACACTTCCTCCTCTGCCACCTCAGTTTGCCCGTCTGTGAAATGGAACCAACACTGGATATCCTGCCTGTGAGGGGACCTGGGAAGGGGACGCCTGGGCTGCAAGAGTGTTCACTGAACATTCAGCATTTTGCACAAGTTGGAAAAGAGTCTTTCCTTCCAACTTCTGGACCTTAGCATAGGGTGTTCCCCTGGGTGGAACACTGTTCCTCTCCATCTGGGGCTCTCTTCTCTCTTGCAGGTTTCAGTAGAGGTTAAGACTTCTCTTCTTTTTCACTAATGGCCTTTAAGTTAGCTAATTCTTTGTGGTGGTGGCAGGGCGGGCCTGGCCATGCAGGGCACTCAGCAGCCCGAGTGTCCTTCCAAGAGTTAACCAGAAGTGCCTCCAGATATGGCTGCGTACCCCTGAGAACACAGTTGAGAGCCACTGCTACCAGGCTGTTTTCTCAGGAAAGCTTTTGTTCTCTGTCCTCTCAGGTCCACGCTCATGCCCGAGGGCCCCTGCATTTCCTCTTGCATCTGCTACGTCAGGTGATGACTTGGTGCCCCAGGGCAGAGCCACCTCTGTCTTGCTCATGCCAGAACCCAGGCTTCTTCACAGCAGGTGCACAATAAATGTTTGTGGAGTGGAGTTGAACTTGCTCAAAGTCAAAAATCGCAATCTTTGCAATCTGTCCATGAGCACTGAAACTGGATGGGATTGATTTTGATGTCATTTCAGCCCTCAGGCCCTGGAAGAATGCTGGCTGCTTGCTGTGTGTGGGGACTGGAGCTGCCCTGGAAACAGCCCCCGGCCCCACAGGCCCCAGCTTGCAGCCTGCACGAGGCCCCACCATCACCTTCATCTTGGCTACACATCGGGTGCCCAGGTGACCTACAAACCAGCAGGGTCCCTCACATTCCACCCCACTTGATCCTAAACTCCACCAGTGGCATCTGAGCATTATTAGAGGTGTGTGTGTGTGCGTGTGTGTGTGTGTGTTTGTGTGTGTGTGGCGGGGTGGGGGGGAGGTATTTGAACTCCAGATTATGTCTGTGATGGCAAAACTCAATCTTTTTTTTTAAGAAGATAAACCCAAAAAGAGGAACCCAGCGCCTTCCCTGGGCCCTTTCCTTCTGTAACTCTTTCCCAAATTTTATGCTCTAATCACATTAAGCTGCCTTAAGTCCCACTTGAGCAAGCCCCTTCTCTCTTATTTCCAGGATTTGCACATGCTATTCTCACTCTCTGGAACATGCTACCTTTCCCCCTTGCCATCTCTCACTCTAGCTTAGAAGCCATTTTTCCTGGAGGCTCTTCTTGATCTCCGTCTCGCTCCTTAGCCACCTGCCCCCCTCACTCTTATCACTCTGCGTGTAGATTCTGGTTCACCTCGCCCCGGAGCAATGAGGCAGAGCCTATTCCACTTTTCACAGCTGTACTGTGAGCATGCACACTTGTTCTTGCACATAGTAGGGGCAAAGTTACCTTCTCGCCAGAATTTCAAGAGACCATCCAATGCACTCCTTTCCAGGATAAACTTTACTGCTGAAGGGACAGCTTCCGGAAACTCTCCAGTTCTGAAAGCTGTGCTGACTTAGTAGTAGACACTCAAAGCATGTCTTGAATGAATAGCAATTTATCCCAGACACAAGATGACAGAGAGATGAGACTGGGAGGAAGGGGGTCACTCCTCATCGAGCAGTGGGTGGATGAGTGATGAGACAACAAGAAAGGACAGCTTCAAACTTGCCTTCAGCAGTCACGAAACGCTAATTTCCAAGCCCCTCCTGACCGGAGACAAACTGAGCCTCAGGAGAGAAGCCCCAAGTCACAGCACTGGGAGCAAAGCAGAGGGAATTCTGACAGGGCTGACCTGGTCCTGGGTTCATAACACTCACTGTGCAAGGACTGAAAATCTCCTGGAACAGGAGGCCTGGGACATCTGCGCGCACTTCCATTTCCAGCTTCAAAGATAGTTACTCATACTTTTGCACATAACTTCCTCTTCACTTGCAAGGCTCCTTGGCCCAGCCAGGCAGCTCCTGAGCTATGCTTCTCAGCCTACTGTGAGAACTCTTGAGGCTTGAGAGCAGAGCCGATCCCCAGAGACCCTGCTGCCTTCAGAGATACTTTTTGAAGTTGGCACCTCCTCTCCCGCTGCCCCTGTCTCTGGGCCTGCCAGCTAGCCCTTTCCTTCTGCTCCTCGAGACACCACCATCTGTCTCTCTCCCCTTCGCTCAGTCCCTGAGGCGTCGCAGGGGAGGGAGAGGTCTGGATGGAGCACCTACTAGGTGCCCGCACTGCGCACAGACAACACAGCCACACGGCAGGCATGCCCATTCATGGCAGCATTTCTTCATTCAGCAGTCACTTCCTGAGAACCTACTAGGGGATCCAGCTCTGTGTTAGACCTTGGATCAGGGAGATCTCAGACCAGACCCGACTGCAAGGACCTTCTGGCATGGTTGAGGGAGACAGGAAAATAAACCACTGCAGTTCAGTGAGCACCAGCTACACTGCTCTTCTCCTCCTGGCCATACTGACCGTCCAGGGCTTTGAAGATGATGCACTTGTTCTTGCCACAGGGACTTTGCATATTCTGTTCCTTTCTGACGCACTCACTCTAGTTTACCACTTAGTCCTGAGCTTTAGTATCAGATCCTTAGGGAAGGCTTTTCTGACTTGCCTCTTTATAACAAATCTCCATGATGGAATCTCACAGCACGATGCATCTATCCTTACATCACTTATCAGTTACAGTGACCAATTACTGGTAGTTTCCATAATGTAATGCTTACTTCCTTAGTGCACTGGATTTCCTAAAGACAGGGACTCTTAACCACGTGCATATGAAGTTGCTGTTTCCCTCACTACTGGACCCCAGTTCTTTGTACAGCTGTCAGACACATAGTAGATGCTTAGTGAAAATTGGCTGAAAAAGTAAATCAGGAGAAATTTCTTCTGCAATGAGATGGCATCGATAGTCCCATCATTATAATACTCACAACTGGATATCTAGGAAGATCCGTTTCTCCTCCCCTACGTGTATCTTCCAGACACAATCTTCACCTTCCACGTAGGGTTCTGGCCAGTTTGGGGAGAGCACCACCCCAGCCACAGCAGAGAGCTCCCCACCACACATTGCTGTAAAAGACACAGACAGAGAGAGTCAGAGACACTTTATTCATAGGTAAGCCTACCTGGCCTGGCAGGTGAGTGTCTGTGCTGTGAAGTCAGACAGCCGCGGATTGCTCTGTGTGTGGACAGGTACATTCACCTCAGGTGGTCCATACACGTGAGGAGACTGGCACCTGCTTTGTTTAGCTAAGGCTTGGTGAAGGTGGGGCTGAGGCTCTATATAGTCATCCATCGCTTAACAGTGGGGGTGTGTTTGGCTATTTCATCTTTATGCAAATGTGGTAGAATGCAACTACACAAACATAGCTGGTACATAATATAGAACAGCCATCTAGACTAATGGAACCACTGTTGAATATGTGGTCTGTTGACTGAAAGCATTATTACAGGACTGTAATTCTTTCAGGACCAAGGACAGAGTCCAGAGTGCCGGAAGATCCTAGCCAGGACAGCCCTCCATTGTGCAGGGTGACTGTGGCTTAGAGGTGGTGCACTCCGGTGGGCGGGCCTGGGTTTGTGTGTTCCCTGTGCCCCCACAGGCGCGGTAACAAGGCTTGTAACTTCTGGGAACCTGTGCGCCTGTATTTTGTAAAGTGGGGTAACGTCACTGCTGACCCCATGGGCTATTCTGAGGCCTATTTGACTTCATGGTTGTCCACTGCAGCACAGTGCCTGGCACGGTGTGTGTTCAGGAGTCTGAGTTGATGTTACCAAAGGCCCTGAGCCCAAACTGGAAGTGGAAGGCGGCTCTGCCTGGCGCCTGGCCCTTTAAATCCCACTCTGTGTTTACCGCTTTGGAAAGTTCTCAATGTGGCAGAGGCCAAAGCACCAATAAATTCCGCTCTGTTAAACCAGCACATTTAATACAGGGATCAATCCCTCACCACGGTGAGGCTGTGATTTCACGCCAACTGCCATCCGGGCGGCAGCTGCCAGAGGCAAGGGCCGTCTTCCTTACTCCATGTGCTCAGGGAGCTGGGCTCAGGGTGGCTCAGCTGCCTTGAGTAAGGGGGAGTGGGGAGGGTTTGGGGGCCATGTAGCGGAGGGTCCCGCACAGCCTGCACTGTCCTGAGGGGCTCACAGCATGGTTTCTGAAACCAGAGACCCAAGTTCCATTCCTGCCCCTGCCAGTTACTCTCACGAGCCCTCAGGTCCCATCAGAGCCCAGTCTCCTCAGCAGTAAGCGGGGTCAGCTGTAGTAATGATAGTGCTGAGGGGCTGCAGTGAGGTGAAGTCAGGTAACAAGCACACAGCCTGGCGGGGTGTATGTACTGTTTTGCACTCCTGTTAAAATCTATGAACATCATCACTTACTGATTGAGGCAGGACTCCCTGTGCTGTTGGGTGGACTGTGGGTGGCACAAGAGTGCACCGTGGGGGTCATGCAGGAGTGGACAGACAGGCAGCAACCTTCTCACCAGCTGTGTCTGGAGGTAGGGACACTTTCACAGATTTATCCATTTTGCCCTTTCCTCAAGGACTGACAACGAAGCTGACGCAAAAGATAGTGAGCTCCAGAGAGGACTCTAACCCTAATTAGCCTGTAAATTGGTGGCATCCCTTGGATGGGGCCTTGGACTTAGCATCTGAGGGGCACCTGGGAGGAGGCAATGGGCCCACTCACCTCTGCACAGGGGCTCTGTGTCGTTCCAGTACGGGTCCCGCACGTTGATGCACTCGATGATGGCTGGGCCTTGCTCCAGAGAGTGGCCAGGGTCGCAGGTAAACTCCACTATGGTCCCGATGTTATAGGTGGGGTCAGAGGTGGTGAAATTCCCATTCTGAATGTAGGGCTCATAGCAGTGGCCTTTCTCAAAGGCTGGGGTGGGGATAGAAAAGAGGCAGCGGTTCAAGTGAGTCAGGGGCCACCCCGGGGCCATGTCTCAGAGGATGGACTTGCCCATCTTGCTGTCCAGGGAAGCACCAAGGACAGCGGGAACCAGGCCCAGTTCCAGCTGACATGCTGAAGACTCTTGGGCCATGCCCTTGGCTTCTTGGGGTGTCACTTTTATATCCAAAATGGGAATGAGGACCTGTGCCCTCCCGGCCCTGCAGAGTTGGCCTCTGGAGGTCAAAGGGTCAGTCTAGCCACTGGGTCCCCCATTCTTAGCAGCCAGGTCTCCACCTCCTGGGACCCAGCCCAGGCCCACCATGCCTCTTCTGCTCCTGCATTGCCACCTCAGAAGAAGGGAGGGGCCCAGGCTCCTCACCCTCGAACCGGATGTTGAAAGCGGAGGCTGCCCGCGCTTGGTCGGAGGTGAACTCGATGCGGATGGTGTGGCCTTCGCTCAGCAGGCCCTCGAAGGGGACACTCTCTGTCTGGAGGGAGTCGTAGAGCAGAGCAGTCTTGTTGGTCAGCCCGCTGTAGACCAGCATCCTGGCAGTGGGAGAGGACAGGGGGTCACCGTGGCACACGGCAGTTGTGGGGCTCTGAGAGCCGCCTTGGGAGCTTCAGACTCAAACCCTGACTTTGCCCGGACTTTCTCAGACATGCTCCTTCACCTTCTCAGGGAGGCTCATCTGAGACCCCCCTCATGGGTTGATCTGAGGTGCAAGGAAAGTGATATGCATGATGTCATACACCATACTGATTCATGGCACCTGGTTATTATTACTAATGGAGAAGTAGGGATTAATGGGCTATTATCAATTCTGAAACAGGTTTAGCATTAACATTTAGACAGAGTCCTGGCCTCTGAGACTTCTGAGCTGTGTGACTTTGGACAAGGACTCCTCCCCACTGGGCCCCTCTGTTTTGTCTTCTGTAAAATGGACATGATCACGCCTAGTTGAGTGTGGGTTTAGAGATCAGGGGAATAGAGCACTGAGTGGCTACACAAGCAAAATTTATTATGCATTAGGCACTGACAAGCTGTGTCTCTGATCTTATTTGCTAAGAGCACTGTGTGTGGACTCAGGAGTCCGATTTCCCAAGATCCCATTTACATTAGTCTCAAAACAACTTCGGCCTCAGTTTCCACAACCACGAAAGGAGGGACCCTAACATCTTTCTGCCTACCTTACATGTGGGCTTTGAGAGCATGATAGGATTGAGTGCCCTGAGAAATGAAACTTTACATGACATGTTGGTGCTCAATTTTACTATTATTCAAACCACTTCATCTTGATTTAGTCCTGGTATTTTTAAAGAAATTATGCAAAAATGAAAGAAGAAAAACAGAACACAATTAAGTGAGTTTCTTTTATGGGGCCATAAATAGGGTTTATGTTGCTCAGATAAATTTTCCAATGTCACCAAAATGAATAAATATTGGATCCATGGTTTGTTATAAGCCTGCTCTGTCCTCTGGAATAGTACTATGTTTTTATCCCAAATTCACATGCAGGCCATGGTCTGATGGATTTGGGGAATGCTGGGTTAAATAAAAATTATTTTTGGCCCTCCCTGGTGGCACAGCGGGTTAAAGCACTGCACTAAGAAGCTTAAGCCACTTGCGCTTGAGTTCGATTCCCGTCTGCCCCGGAGGTGACCACATGGCGTGGCAGACCTCTCCTGATCCACCTGCTGCTCCCCTCAGCAGTGTACTTCGTCGATCTGCCTGTTCTGCTCCCCCCTCTGTCCCTGGTGAATCCCCTCACCCTCTGCATCTCTGGTCTGTACCCCAGTTCTAGATGAATAAATAAATAAATCTTTAAAAAAATTATTTTCTGCAGGATTTCTCAGTGCCTTTGCTGGCTAATGACACTAATACCTTCCAACACAGGCTAGACTCCTCTCCCAAACATGTTTGACCAGAGAACCTCCCTTTCATGCTGCATATTGTGACAGTGGAGTTTTAGAAAGACGTCCTTTTATGGAAAAACATTTACAAATCTTTCTTTGTATCCCTCTTCTACTCAAAAATCCTTCCAGGGCTGCCTATGACCCATGGGAGCAGCCTGGCATTTAGGCCCCAGTTTACCCTCCCAACTTTATTTCCTCGTCTTACTGGTGAGAAGACTGTCACAGCCACTCCTGCCTCTCCCCCTGCAACATCAATGTGGATTTTCTCCTCTATATCTGTGTCCTCTGCTCCCCCTACTTTCCCTGCTGGGGAGATCCCCCCCTCTATTTTTGGGTTCCTTTATCCAATCTCTTTTCAACATTTAGACAAGGTCTTTTTCTTATGTAGAACCTTATCTAGTGCTAAACTCTTGCAGCTGGTATACACTGTAGTATTTTTATCTGTTTTTCTTCACTAAAGTGCGTAGGACAGAAAAAGTTGATTTCACTTTTCTTCTTAGCACAGAGAGTAACTTCACTGTGTGTGTGTGCCATGTATGTGACCTTTAAGCTGATGAACTACCATACTTTTCCCTCTTACAAATCTGAGAACTAGCTTCCCCCATGGCTGTCAGTTCAGACTTTCACAGACCTCTGCAGAATCCCCTGGAAACTACCAGTGAGCTACATTGTCAGTGTGTCTGCTTGGCTCATTTAGCCAGATTTAAATAACTTTCAGAAATTACCATTTTGGTTAACCTTTTCCCCCTTTTTATTTGTATTGTTTAATATGCACTTGACTTTGAGTTCACCTCGGAGCCATTTGGAAGTGGCAGACCCAAGGTCAAGGTTTTAGAAAGTGTCCTTCACTGAGGTTTCCCAGGCCTGGTTTCTCCATCATTCTCCAGAAAGAAAGATTGGAAATTCATTTTAAAAGAGTCCCCAAGTCATTCTGATGCTACCAAGAAGCCATGACTTGGAGTCTGTCCTACACTTCCCACTTGAATGCAGTGACTTACTGATAAAAAGTTGTTCAGGATAAAGCTGGGCTACTTGGTGGGGACAAGGCTCTACGTGAGCTACTTATTTGTCTGTAAGAATCCTTTTCTGGCCCTCCCTGGTGGCACAGCAGGTTAAAGCACAGCAATAAGAAGCTAAAACCATTTTTGCATGAATTCGATTCCCGCCTGCCCCAGAGGTGGCCACATGGCGAGGCAGACCTCTCCTGACCCGCCCGCTGCTCCCCTCAGCAGTGTACTTCGTAGATCTGCCTGTTCTGCTCCCTACTCTGTCTCTGGTGAATCCTCTCACTCTCTACATCTCTGGCTTGTACCCCAGTTCTGTATGAATAAATAAATCTAAAAAAAAAAATTAAAAAAAAAATCCTTTTCTACCTAAAGAGCTTGATAGCATAGAATTGCAACTTCCGAGAAGTCAGGACACTATAATTCTAAGACCAGAGTCTGACGGCATTCTGGAAGAGCAGTGAGTGTTGTAGACCCCCCACTCACAGGCACTCAGCACTCCCTGTTTACATATTGTTCTGTCAGATTCCAACCCAAAGTGTCAGCTCCACCAGCTCTCCGAGTGTCAGGTAGTGTAAGGGAGTCAATGTTGGGGCACGCCCTTCCTCCCCTGCTGGGTGTAGGGAGGGTGGTAGATAAGTACTCCAACTATCTTGCCCTCCAACTGGACTACAAAGGTTACACTCAACAGTTTCCCAGAGGTCCGTGTGGATGGAATCCCAACTGCCTCACCACTACCTGCTATTAACACATACTCTCTTTGTTTTCCTTGTCTCTACCAGAGCTTTCTGGGATCAGCTCCCAATTAAACGGCTTTCCTCACATCCTCATAATCATGACTGTTGCCAAGATAACCTAAAGGAAGACATGTCTAAGTGAAGTTCAAGTTTTCTCGAATGGTCTAGAATATTTTAGAACTTCAGTTTTAAGGTTCTGGATTTTATGTGTATTAGCGTATATACACGTTCTTGCTTAGATGTTGCATCGTAACTTCTCCTATGATTGCATGTCATGTCGGCTTGCCCATGTCAGCTACCTCTTATCCCAGGAGGCAAAGTTCTTTACTTCTCACCTGTTCTCCATAGTCTAACGCATGACTAGTCACAGGGAGGGAGCTCAATAAACATGCCTTTTTGTTCCACTGCAAAATGATGTGCAGGAGAAAGAACGAGGCAGCACCAAGTGCGGAATCTAGGTCTCCCTCTTGCTTCCTTTGTTGTGTAACTTGGAGCAAGCCCCCTTTCCTCTGGATGACCTAGTTTCCTAAGGTGCGGAAAGAGGAGATCAAAGCTCACGGCCTCTAGGATCCTCATTCTCCTCCTCATTATCCCTTTCTTGACTTCAACGAGTCAAAATTACAACCATCTCGGCCCTCCCTGGTGGTGCAGCGGGTTAAAGCACAGCACTGAGAATCTAAAGCCGCTTCCTCATGAGTTCGATTCCCGCCTGCCCCGGAGGTGACCACATGGCGTGGCAGACCTCTCCTGACCCGCCCGCTGCTCCCCTCAGCAGTGTATTTCGTTGATCTGCCTGTTCTGCACTCCACTCTGTCTCTGGTGAATTCTCTCACCCTCCACATCTCCGGCCTGTATCCCAGTTCTGTATGCACAAATAAAATAAAATCTTTAAAAAAAAAATTACAACCATCTCAAGACTCCAAAACCTAGCCATGTCAAACAGTCTGGGAAGGAATGAGGCTGCGTGGGGACCCCGGAGGGTACCTGTCCTTCTTATGCAGTGACAGCCTCTCAAAGTGCAGGTGCAGCTTCTGGCCTTCCGGAGCCTCGATGGTCCACACACAGAACTGGCTCCCATTGGAATTTCCGGAGTGACTTGGGGAGAGGACTCGGCCGATGGTGGCGTTGTGCACGGCCCCTCCACAAGGAGCTGTGGTCAGGAGGCAGGGGTGAGATGGCAAGGCAAGGAGAGCAGAGAGAGGGAAGAAAGGGAGCGTCACATCATCTCTTGATTCCCAACCCTTCACAGGCAGGAAGGGGGAGATCACGGAGGAGGCCTGTCCTGTTGTGTGACAGGAGATCTCATGCCATGATTAGCCTTCACCATGTATCCCCTGCAGGGATGAATCACTGTGAGTGAAGGGTTTCTCCATGGTGCTGGTTGCATCCTGAATTTGGTCATAAAATGGCATCAAGAGGCTATAACCAGGCAGTTCACCAAAGAAGAAATACTTTGGTACCGAGTGAGCACTAAAAATTTCAGCCTCCCTAATAATAAAAGAAATGCAAATCTAAACTCCCTTTTATTTTCATGCACCTAATTGGCCAAGATAAAAAGAAGAAATAAAACAGGAGCTGCTCAAGGTGGTGGGAAATGGCCACTCTCAGTCATGAGTGGTGAAATGCAAATTGCCGTGCCCTTTCAGAAGGGTCATTTGGTAAAAAATCTAGAAAATGTGTTTGGACACGTTAACCTAGTAATTAAGTTTCTGTGGGATTAATCCTAAGGAAAGATTTGGAAATTTTCATAAAAGTTTATGAATGAGGGTGTTGATTGCTCAACAGTGAATTGTGAACCAATTTCTAAGGGTGAAAGTGAGAAATTACATGTACACCCATGCACAGATAATCTGCTGAAGCAAACATACCTATCTATCTGGTTAATAAAACCATGTTCTCAAAGAACACATGGGGATTCAGAAAAATGCCCACTATAATTTAAGCAAAGAAAGTTCTTGTTCTTCCAAATAGTTTAATGAACTATTTTACAAGGATCAATTCAGGCCATGAATATAACAGTGATTTGCTCCTTTCACTTAGACATTGTATTTCTTAAAAAAAATTTCACTACCAGACCCATATTAGCTTAATTATAAAAATCTAATAAAGGAATGAAAAAAGTAATTTTTGGATGGGGATGAGACATACAAAGGTGAAGATATATTTGTATTCTTATTCTTCAGAGACATTTTTGTTGTCGCTAAGGGTTTGTTGAATGACTACAATTGAGCAGAACTCTCTTCTCTGCTCAGTGTTTTGCTGTGACCTACAGCAAAGACATTGCCAATAGACTCTGTATGTAAGTTTTCACTTTGCATCATTGGTAGGTTCTGGGAAACTATGACTTTAAACAAAAAGTATGTAATAAAGTCAGTTTTACTACAGACTAACTTATATATACAAGAGTTAATTCATGGCACATAGCTCTGGTCACAAAACATCAACAAACTTCTAAAGAGAGACACAAACATTTCTACTATGAAACAATAATTTGTATTCCTTCATTTTCCAACCCACTAGTTCCAGCTCACATATTCACGGGTGGCCAGTGCCTATCCTGGAAGCTGGGGGTGCAAAAATGGGAGCCAACCCTGGGTAGCATGCTCTTCCTGTTCAGGGCACACCTACACTCACGTCTATAGGGACATCACAGACACACCGACAACCTTATGCTCACATCTTTGGGATGTGGAGTAAACCAGAGTGTCTGGAGACAACAAAGGCAGACCTGGGACGAACATGCTACTCCACACAGACCCCCCGACAGGAGTGGATATCGTTGCCCTCATCAGCATTATGAGGAAACAAAGCTGAGTGAAATGAGGCCTTTCAAGAACTTACTGTAATTCTCTCAGAATCTCGGATAGAGCGTCACCTTCCTTCATCCAGTTTGCCAGCCTGTCCTAAAATGGACATTCAACCCTCACCTATGCCAGCCACTGGTGCTCTCAGGGTCTTGCATTCACTCGCAGAAGGTGAGAAGTCCACCCTCCTTATGGGCTGTGGTCAACCATCAATGATGTGATGGGTGAAGAGTGATTGGCTCAGCCCTTGGCACGTAGGTGCTCGGAATGCAGCCAGCGTTATGTCCCTATGACCCTGGAGCAGAGGAGGTAGAGGGCACTACCCAGCAGGGGACATCTGTTCTCTCTGAGCCCCCCCATTTGCCTCTGCTCTGTTCCCCTTTCTTGCCTTATTAAGCCGACTGATGACTGTTTGGCTTAAATTTGCCAGCCATACCTCCCCATTCATCTTTCTTAGCATAAATGGAGGTTTAATTCCTGTCTGATTTTACACATAGATCCAAATTAATGTGAGAAAGGTGTGGAGAGCAACTACACGCTTGCTTTTTTCTTTGTTATACAGAAAGAAGAAAAATCCTGAGGGGCCTCGGGGAATGATATGACAACAATCAGACCCCAGACTTTATCATCAGCTGTCATTCGGGATTCCACTGGCTATAACTGCCTAGATGACAGGAATGATGTCTTCTCAGTAGTCTCCTGGTACCTGGTTCATGGACTGGCACATAGTAGGTACTCAGCTAATACAACTATTCTTCTGCAGCTACTGTGGGAAATAGTTTGATGATGTCTTAAAAAGTTAAATATAGAATTACCATATGGCCCAATAATTCCACATCTGGTATATACCCAAGAGAAATGAAAACAAGAGTCCCCACAAAAACTTGTACACAAATGGGGCCCTTCCTGCTGACGCAACAGGTTAAAGCGCAGCACTATGAAGCTCTCCACAATCACTGCAGCACGAGTTCAATCCCCGGACAGGGAGCTGACCCACATGGCACAGCAGACCTCTCTTGTCTCCCTGCTGCTCCCCCAAACAGTGTACTCCAGTTAATCTGCATGTTCTGCTCCCTGCATGTTCTGCCTCTGGTGAATCCTTTAACCGCCCCCCCCCCATACCTCCGGCCTGTACCACAGTTCTTGTATGCAAAAGTAGATAAATTTTTGAAATAAACCTTGTACACAAATGTTCATAGCAGCACAATTTTTTTTAAAGATTTATTTATTTATGCATACAGAACTGGGGTACAGGACAGAAGTGCAGGGGTGGTGAGAGGCTTCACCAGAGACAGAGTGGGGAGCAGAACAGGAAGATCAATGAAGTACACTGCTGAGGGGAGCAGCGGGCAGGTCAGGAGAGGTCTGCCGCGCCATGTGGGCCACCTCCTGGACAGGGATCGAACTCGTGCTGAAGTGGCTTTAGCTTCTCAGTGCTGTGCTTTAACCCGCTGTGCCACCAGGGAGGGCCCAGCAGCATAATTTGTAATAACCCCAAAATGGGAAAAATGTAAGTGTCCATCAATGAGTGATGTGATATAGCCACACACAATGGAATATTATTCAGCCTTAAAAAGGAATGAAGTTATGATACATATGACAACAGGAAAGAGCTGGAAAGTATGCTCCTTGAAAGAAGCCAGACACAAATGAATGACATACTGCCTGATGGGGAACATAAGAAATATGACAGCCAAGAGTTGGGGCAGGGGAGGGGGGTTACTTATTCAAAGTGACTTGGGGGTGATGAAGTTCTGAAACTCAATAGCGATGATGGTTGTACGACGCTGGGAAAGAACCGAACATCTCTCAGGGCATATTTTCTGGTATTGTGTATTTTACCACAATCGAACACAGACCATGTGGCCTCAGCCCTTTGTGTTCAGGCGGTCTCTTCCCTGGCCTCCGAGCCTCCCCTAAGGTCAGCCGCACACCCTGGGGCTGACCGCCCCTCCACCGGACCTCCTGTGTGTGGCCGGGAGGTGGGGGCTGCGTATACCTGAGCAGACGGGCTCCTGGCTGCTCCAGTGGGGCTTGGAGGCGTTGATACACGTCAGCGTCCTGGCACCCTGGAGCTCATACCCCAGGTGGCAGTGGAAGTGTGCTGCCCCGCCCGAGTGCAGGTCCATCACGGTCACGTCACCGAAGTCGGGCCGGCGGGGGAAGCTGCAGCTCAGCATGAAGGCTGGGGAGAAACGCAGGGGCCACGGTTACTGACAGAGGGGGCAGTGGAGAAGACGCCCCACATCCCAGAGCTGTTTGTGCTGAGGTGATAGGACGAGGCCCTTGGGGACTCTGGAGTCGGGGAGGAGGGTATTTCTGTGACTCGTGATCATCTGCTGCGGAGACTGCAGGCCTAGCAATTTTCCTGGGCTCTACTCTGCCTGGGGTCCGCTCTGCCTAGAGATAACAGGTTTGGGGTGATGTGCGTTCCCACAGCTCATTGGCACCTCTCCCCAGGGACACAGAAGGGCCTTCTCAGGCAGAGGTGGGTTGCTCAGGTAGATTCATGCTCCCTGCGCAAACAACTGAAATGTTTGCTGAATGAGCGGACTCTGGGATGAGAATGGGAACAACCAGCTCTTTAGGAAATGTCTGTAGCTATGAATATTTGAAAACAACTGTCCTGGGAGAGAAGGAGAGACCAGCGTGAGTTTATGTTCTGACTCCATTGCTTAGAAACTGCCCTGAACGTCACTCTGCTCTTCTTTCCCTTGGAATTGGCAATGTCCCTCCTGCACGGGTGGTGTAAGGAAAAGTGGGATACAGCTCAAATAAAAAGAAGGGACCACTGAGGGCCCCCACTGGCTGGGGCTGTGGATGCGCATGGGATGTGTCTGTTGACTGCAGGGCCATGAACTTGAACGAGAAAAAGTGGTTTGTTTATTTTCATTAACCTTTAACAGGACGGCCATGTTTCCCTCAATCATCACGGTGGGCAACAAACTGTAACGTATTAATAGAACCTGGGACTTAGTCACCTGGAGGAATCACAGGTATTTACATATCATAATGGATATCTTGACATATTTCTTATGCTCCTCAGCACTTTGAAATTATAGTAATTATCAGAACCATCAGGAGATGTTATTATTTAATGTGTGAATAAAGAAGCACATAGATCACTATAGATTAAAACAATATTTTGACAACGGTAACTCAGTACGCCTGGCTTCTCTTTCAAGTGTATACTTTTTGTTAATGCTTTTGAAGTCATTTTATTGAGAAGGGGTCTCTGGGGTTGATCAAATTGCCAGAGGCACTCTGGAACAAAGACTTTGGTTTCAGAGGTTCCAGAGGGAAACTGAGGCAAACAGCTACGCCTCATCAGCGTCAGCCCCATCCTACCCTGGTAGTGCAACTGGAAGGTTCCAAGGCCATCATCCTGGAAGGTCCGGAAGTAAACAGAGATGGTGTTGGTGGGGCTTCTGATGACCTGTCCTTCTACCAGGAGTGTCTGGTTGGCCAGGACGGTCAGGGTGGGCCCGTCCACTCCACGGATGGAGAGGAGCTCCCCTTCAGACAGGTTCACATTCTTCACCTGGGGGTGGGCAGGGTAAACAGAGGAGCCCTGAGTCTTGCTGGAGACAGTGCCACCCCAGGCCACAGTGCTGCCAACAGAGCCTCCAGCCAGCCCCAGGCACTGGAATGCAGCACCCCCCAAGTGACCCAGGTACACGTGACTCCCCAATGACCCCAGGAACTGAAATACAGCAACCCCAGTTGGCCCTAGGCATCCTGCAACAGACCTCTGGTCAGTGGGACAGACCCCAAGCCCCAGCCCTGAAACACCTGTAAATATCTAGACCTCCTTTTTCTCTCCAAAGTTTGAGGGGACGGAGTAGAACCAAGATGAGGATAGAGGTTCAAGGAACTGTGAACCCCACAGCTGGGCTCTTTTAGAGGTTGGCAGCTGGGGTAAATTCCCATGGAGCGGTGTGTAAGGGCAGGGTTGTTCAGCGTGTGCCTCAAGTCCAATCTCCAGGGAGATCGGAGACACATTCCACCAGAATGTAAGTTCCAAGGAGCTAGGGATTTTTCCATGTTCCTTAGTATCCCCAGCACCTGGAATAGTGCCTGCCACACAGCGAGTGCTCAGGAAGTATTTACAGAATGTTGAATACATTCTCCCACTTCTGCATGTACTAAGTGAGGGAGGAGGGGGAGAAGGCTCTGGGTGGTTCTCAGGTCCACTCTCTTATCCTCCCAAGTAAATGACAGCTCCAAGTCCAGAGCTTCCTCACAGAACCAGGTAGTTGCTTTGCTAGGCCGCTTTCTAGGCTTGCAGGAGACAGAAGGGAGATACTTCAACTGTGCACATTAAACAATGGAATAGGGGTGGGCTGCAGACTTTCACCAGTTTCCAATGTCCAGTTTGCATATCTACGACGCTCCTAGCCTGGATCCTAGCCCTTATGCCCCCATTTCAACAGGGCAAGCCTCACGTCTGAGCCCCTCTCTTTCAGGCCTACAATGTACTCTTTCCTCTTTGATGAACTCCTACTTATTCTCCAAAGCCCCACTAAAATTGCCCTCCTCTGTGTGGCCACCGCTGACTGGCAAGGAGCTTGCCTTTGCCTCCATTGTGATTCTACAGCATCCCCCATAGACATCTACTGTAGACCCCTATAGGTGGCCTTTTCAAATGGCATCCTCATGTCTTCTCTGTGTGTGTGAGTTATAAAGCATGACTCCTTTGTGGCAGGTACCGAATCATTTCTGCACACCACATATCCCCTGGTGTCAACAGCCGTGACTGGCACATAGTAGGTGATTGGTGAAGGCATTCTACGGTACCGGATAAAGAAAACCATGGAACAGTAGGCAAGTGGAAATGTTCATTAAGTGCCAGAATCAGATGTGCTGCAATTTTTCTCCAGTTTATTTTAATGCCACAAAAAATATTAAGTACCTACTATGTGCCACACACTATGCTAAGTTCTGTGCAAAGAGGCTAGGCTCTGCTGAAGGGCTTAGCTCTTTTATCTTTCCTGTGTGAGTCAGAAGAACTTTCCTCAAGGAAAGTTCTGCTCAGGTCATATGACCAATCCAGCTCACAAACTTCTGATGGCCCCTTGTTATCTATTAGAGAAAGCCCACATCCAGACCTCAGACCATGGCTGGGGAGAGTCCGTGGCCACGTCCTTCCCTCTGTGGGTCACTTCCCCTCCTCCGTTCATTTTAAAGAGTATGTGGTCAGTTGAGAAGATCTAGAACTAGGGTGAAGACAATTGGTAATAGACACTGAACTTTCTCTCTCTCCTTTTAGGTTTTGGCTAAATGTCCTTTCTGTGTTCTAATATTCATCTCTCCCCCCAAACCCTGTCAAGTCATAACATTATTGTCTCTGGTGTATTGATGGGGAAACGGAGGCTTAGAATACAGAAACCCCATGCCCAAAGTCACAGTTTTAACTATAGAACTGGGACTTAAAACCCAGATGTTTGAGTACTATGCCATCCTGATTTTCCATTCTTAGTGTATATATAGGTCAATTGAACTGGCTGAGACGTGTCTCTGTGTGTGTGTGTGTTTGTGTGTGTGTTCTTGGTAACCAGGGTACTAGAAGACTTTCCTTTGAGCACAAAACCTCCCAACTTATACAAAATCTCCCCTCCACGTGTAACTAGCTATTTTTGATTTGAACTGAGTTGGGAACTCCTATTCATTCAACAAAACCCAGCTCAAATTACCCTCCCTAGTGAGAAGAGAACCAGACTGGGTAAGGGTGAGGAAGCCTCACCAAGGGTTACCTGCAGCTCTACCCCATAGCCAGTGTAGACAGTCACATTGTATGTGCACTCCAGGAAGTTGTTGAGGGGCAGCGGTGGGTAGTCACTGGAGTCGATGTAGCCTTCAGGGTCAGAGAAACTCACACTGCAGAGAGCTGGAGGAGAGCACATTGGTTAGCCACTGAAGGAGATGAGGTGGCTCTCTCAGATGGGCTCTAGGGTAAGACAGGGACTCTGGGGACAGCTGCATTCTCCAGCCCCCACTCCTCCTACTTTTAAATTTCCTTCAGCTCCAGAGTCAACAGTACAGTTGACCCACTCAGTACAGTTGACACAAATGACCACTTGCAAGATGTAGTTGTAACATGTTGTCACAGCAATGTGTTGCCGGGCACTATTCCAACTCGTGGTGGCCCCACTCAGCCTTCTGGGGGCAGAGTTTATAGCTATGTGAAGCAAAGCAAGGAGGGGCATCAGCTGAGTTAGGCTCACTCAGCAAGCGGGATTCAAACCCAGGCCCACACGGCCTTGGCCCGAAATCATGTGTGATTGACAGTTGGTGTCCATTTGAAGATGGACAAGAAAATAGAAGAACTTTAAAAACTGGAGAAAGGGGATGCCTTTCATCAAGCCTAGTGGAGTTTATGGAATAATAAAAGGCAAAGCACTTTGAGAAGGTTATGGCCTGCTAAGCAGACCTAGGAATTCAGTTCCAAGATGAAAGGTTTGGAATCCTACTTTTGGGCTGTGTGGCTTCAGGCAGGTTGCTTGGCATCTCAGGCCTGAAAGATAAGCTGTCATATCATCCCAATGGGGAATGTGAGCCCCTGGTGAAGCTCCTAGGCCACTCACAGGGGTGGGCCCTTGTGGTGGGTGATGATGCCCCTGCCCCCTGCCTGGCAAAGAGGGTGCCCCCTGCTGGTTCAGGAGGCCGGGGAGTCGGCACCTACCTGGGGCCTGCTCGGTGGTGATGACTGTGGTGGTGATGATGGTGGACGTGGTGGTCTCCTGGCTCTCCTCCGAAGCTGACCCGGTCAGCTCATTCTCACCTTTGTCCATCAAGGTCATGGGACTCGCGTCCTCCGGAGGCGCCTCTTGAGCCTCCTCAGGCACCACCGGCTCCCCAGGGTCCGGTTTCTGGGGCAGGGTGGGAGCCATGAAGGGCTGCGAGGTGAAGGGGGAGATCTGCAGTGGGGCGGGTGTGGTGGGGAGTGCACTTTCCTTCCTGTCCAGCCAGATGGGCTCCTCCGAGGACAGCTGCAGAGTGTCCTCGCCTGCCGAGGCCACTGGGTCCAGGTCGGCTGGTGGACGGGGCTCCTCGGTGATGGAGGAGAGGGAGCGTGGGCCTGTGGGCGCTGGCTGGGCCCCAGCCCTTGGGAGGGCTGCTGTGGACGGGGTCTTGGGCCTCAGCTGTTTCCTGGCCAAGTTCACCTGCTTGAGCGAGGGCAGCTTCTTCCGAGGGGCAGTGGTGTGCTTGCTGCTCGCCTCTTCTGGAGGTTGCGTCCACAGGGCTGACAGGGCCTCAGGGTCTCGACCCACTGAGGGGGCTGAGGGGGCTGAGGGGGCTGAGGGGGCTGCCCCTTCCAACTCAGGCTCCAGAAGCTCTTCCCCGGACTGTGCAGGGTTCGATGGATTCAGAGGGGCCATTGTCACCTTCTCTCGGGGGAGCTCTTTGCTCAGACTGCTGCTCCCCAGGGCTTCTGACGGCAGAAGGTAAGTGTCTGAGAGGCCAGTGTCTCCCTCTGGTGGTGCATCTTGGAAGAAGAGAAAAGACAGCCGTCAATGGCTAAAGAGCTTTAGGTCCTCCTCCAGCCCCAGCATCTGTCATACTCTGAGGCTGGTGTCCCCGAAGTGGCAACCAAGGTTTCCTGGGTGCTGACAGTGTTCTATCAGCAGACAAAGGGCTCCCTCCTTCCCCCTCCTCCCCGCTCCTTCGCCCTCCTCCCTAGTCCTCCTCCCTTCCACCGCCTCCTCTCCCTCCTCCCCTTCCTCCCACTTTTCCTTCTCTTCTTTCCCTTGGAGACTCAGAGTTGATCATGCCAAGCCAAAGTTAAACATTAGGGCTGCAGAAACCAAGGTCACAAGAGTCTTACCCTCCCGTTGTATATGTACTGGGAGAGGGGTCTTGGGCCTCAGGTGTTTCCTTGGGCCTTGTGTCGCCGGCCAGCTCTGTGGTTTATTTTTGTCATGAAAGTAAAGCCACATAATACTTTCAAATAAAGGAAAGGAGGGCTACTCATATTCAAAGTAAAAATGTCTAAAAAGGTAAAATTTCATGCTCACAGGACAGAGCGGACAGGCCCGAACTCAGCGTGCCCTGCAGGACTGCCACGCACAGCTGGGCAGGCTGTTCACTGCGCAAGGACATCCCCAAAGAGCATGCGCGGGGCCGTAAACCAGGCTGCACCCTCCTCTCCGAGCCGCGCGCCCTGGTCAGGGCTGTGTTGTCAGGATTGGAGGAGCAAAATTTTAAATTAGTAGAAAAGGGATCCTGTAGAATCCACAGACAGATTTGAGGACTAGAATCACGAAGCGGGTTTAGGACTGAGGATGTGGGAAGAGCGTGGAGGCTGGCTGGCGAATGCCGGGGGCAGGGGGTGTAAGTAGAGGGGACTAGAGAAAAAGTTGGAGAGGTGGAGAGGCAGGGCCAGCCCTCAGGGGCCTTGTGTCACCGGCTAGCTCTGTGCAATGTATTTTTGTCATGGAAGTAAACCACAAAGTATTTTAAAAAAAGGTGGTCCAGGCAAAAATCATGCCTGAACTCAGCTTCCCACGTACTTATTTGAGACCCAGTTCTGCCAACTTCAAGCCGGCACATGGCGTGGCCTTTCGAGCCTCAGTTTCCTCAGCTGTGAAATGGAAACTATTTCCCGTTTCCTAAGTTGATGCTGGTGACGCAGACAGCCAGCCACAGATATTTGGGTGCCTCACAGTGAGTGATTAGGACGTGCCAGCTGCTGTCAGTGTTTTACTGTCATCACTGCAGGAGGCTGAGCTATCAGAACACCCCATCATCACCTCGAGACAGAGCGGGATTGCGTGGAGATGATGGTGCTCAGACTGATGGCTGTCCTTGTGGATTTTCTGCCGAGAGACACTCAGTCAGCCACGGTCTCTGGGCCCTTCAGCACTGTCATTTAAATTTATTTCTACAGCCATTGGAAAGGCTCATTTACTTTCATGGAGTCGGCAGCAGTGTGGCTTAATCTATACAGACGGCAACAGTTTGCAACTGGCATCGACAAATGTTCCTGTTGTGTAACATTGATTACCAGCCAGTGCACACACCCGGTCAACGGCAGCATGGGGCTGGGCAGGCCCGCGGGAGAGAGGGTGTGCGGGTGACCAGAGGGGAGATCAGGGTCGTCCAGGGACCAAAGCAGGTGTCCTGGCCCAAGGAGGAGGCACAGAGGCTTTGGAGTTAGGCCCGGGCCCAAGTCCTGCCCTGACAGTTCCTGGCCTTGTGGGCCTGGGAAGGCACTGAGCTTATGTAACAGACATGCCACTGGCCTCTCGCAGAGATCAGATGCGGGTCTGCTCAGAAGTGTGGCTTTTATGTTCTTGGTTGCTTTTATTGGAGGGTTGATGTGGTCGGCTTTATAGACTGTGCCACGAGAAGGTGATGGGCAAATGAGATGGGAGCGAGGGGCAGGACACCAGGATCACAAGACCCAGCTGCCACTCAATGCAGAGCCCTTGGCTGCCACCAGAGGCGGGGCGCGG